TTTTTTTTTTTTAATTTTTTTTTTTCAACGTTTATTTATTTTTGGGACAGAGAGAGACAGAGCATGAACGGGGGAGGGGCAGAGAAAGAGGGAGACACAGAATCGGAAACAGGCTCCAGGCTCCGAGCCATCAGCCCAGAGCCCGACGTGGGGCTCAAACTCACGGACCGCGAGATCGTGACCTGGCTGAAGTCGGACGCTTAACCGACTGCGCCACCCAGGCGCCCCAAAAGAAAGATTTTTAAACCTAGGTCACACTGCATCACCCCTGTGGTGGCTTCCAACGTTCACGGAGTAAGGCCTGAACTCATCCCCAGGAGTAGTTCATTCATTTGTTTTTCAGACTCTGTTGAGCACCTACTATGTGGCAGGCCCCGGGGCAGAGCTGTTTAGAAGACACAGCCTCCCCTCCTGCGGAACTTGCACTTGGGGGCTGAGGGAACACAACAGACAAACGTGTAACTAAACCATCCGGTCTGTGAGCCGGATCAAGGTAACACAAGGAAAGGTAATCGGGGCATCGAAAATCAAATCAACATCTTAGACAAGGTGGCCAGTGTAGGGTGACGCTGTAGGAAGGCCACACGGTAGGGTGACCTTTGAGAAACAACCAGGAGGGGAGGGGATGAGTCACGGGGACGTTTTGAGTGTTCCAGGTGGGCACCACCTGTCTGTTTTTCCCAGGACTGGGCAGCTTTCTGGGCCTTGAGGCTTCCAAATGTTGACACCACAAAGGTCCCATGCAAACCAGGAGGAGGTGGTCGCCCATGTTGGCTGAGCAACTGCAAAAGCCTGAGGCGGGAGCATGTTTGGTGGGTTCAAGTAAGAGGGAGGAAACCAGTGTGGCTGGAGGAGGGTGAACAAACCAGTGTGAGCTGGGGGTGGAGAGGCCCCTCGGAGCCTGTGAAAAATGGCAAGGACTCTGGCTTTTCTCCCAGTGAGACGGGAGCCATGCAGGGGTAGCGAGCAAGAGGAGGGACGTGAGCTAACTATGAATACGACCCTTCCGACCGACCGCTGTATGAACAGACACACTTGGGAGAACCCAGTGAGGGGCCCCGACAGTGTTCCAGGGAGAGGCACTGGAGGACAATGGCAGAGGATGGGGGGAAGCGGTAGGACCCCAACCTCCTCTCCAGCCTCATCTCCCTGTGTTCCCGATGCCTGGACCTCCTTGTAGTTCCTTAACACCATCCAGCTCTTCCCCCACCTCAGGGCCTTTGTATGTGCTGAGCCCACCGCCAGAAACATTCTCCCCGCTCGGTGCTCCCTGCCACACTCATATTCAAAGGGGACTGGGAGGGCCAGCGGCTAGAGGAAAGGAAGAATATGGGGTTGGGAAAATACAGAGGTGCCCCGGGAAGAGATGATGGGGGAGAGTTGGACTCACAGAGTGAAGCCCGAGCCTGAGGGAGAACAAGGCTTTTATGGTACATGGGGTTCCCTGGTGGGCATTGTTACCCCCCAATTTCCTTTTCCTAGGCAATAAATCTCACCCCTCAGGCCTCAGTTCATATGCACTTCCTCCAGAAGCCCACTGCCTAGGTCACATCCCCAGGTAAGCGCTCTTGGATGGCAGGGACCTACCGCGTACAGTTGCGTGGGTTGCATACTTCACAATGAACTGAGATCCGGCCTCCCTCCAGTGACACCAGGTTTGAGAAGGAGGGAGTGTCTTTTCTTAATTCCTATCAAGATGCCCCGTTGTGAGAGCACACACCCCTCTGTCTCATCCCGCACTGCATCCCAGTGGACAGACTCAGCACTCAATAAATACATTCTCGTCTCATTTTGAGGCTGGCTCACTCCACTTTGGAGATAAAAAAATAGAGGCTCAGACAAGAGCGAGATGGCCTGAGGTCTGCCACCAGTAGAGGCCCGGCAGGGGCGCCGGCCCTGCACCCTCCCAGCCCTCTCCCCAGGGGCAACGGCCCTGCACAACCCCCCCCCAGCCCTCTCCCCACCACACCTGCGCGGTGGAAGTCATCCTTGCTGTAGGTGAAGTCTTTCAGGAAAGTGATGCACTCTGTCTCGTGGTTGTAGCGTCTGGCTGTCTCTAGCAGCATGATCTGTGGGCAGCAGGAAGAGGAGGAGGCAGGGGCAGGGGCGCCACAAGTCCCTGTGACCTGGCAGCCACTGGTCTCTCCTCTCTTGGCCCATGGGGGGACCTAATCTTGCCAGAATCACCTCTCACCCCTCTGCCCCCAAGCACGTTCCCTCAGTCACCCCGGCCTGCAGTCAGCACGCCCGACACTCCAAGCTCTCCCTCCTCCAGGTTCAACGCCCACAGCGCCCTCCTCCCAGGATACTCTCCCCAGGTGGTTGCAAGGCATGGGGACAGGCATGTTTTGTTCACTGCGACCTATCCAGGACTTGGAATGGAGCCTGGGGTCCACTAGTAACTCAATACTTATTTGTTACTGTTGCTTTGGTTTAAATGTCAACTCTTCTGAACGGCCTTTTCAGCACATTCTTTAGAGTGCGTCCTCCCAGCCAATCCTCAATTTTTCTCAGCCTCAACCCATTTCCTCTCTCTCCTTGGCTCATGGGAGGCTCTGACTCTCTGTTTAGTATTTCGACGTCCCCCTGTAGGATATCGTCCCCACAAGGGCAACCACCAGAGGGGTCTCGCTCATCCCTATTCCCCCAACATCTGTCCTGAGGCTTATCCCTGGGGTTCCCTGTGGGCAGGAATGAAGGGCCATGTTGAGGATGGGAAGGCTGCCCGTTACCTCAATGGTAGATGCCTTCAAGAGGGCAATCTGGTCCTCGCGGCCCAGCTGCAGGAAGCCAGGCACCTGTTTGGCAAAATCCACAATCTCCTGGACTGAGATGATGGCTAACTCCGTGAAGTGGGCAAAACGCTGCTGGCGTGCATCACGGGACTGGGGGTCCGCGCCCAGGGGCCAGGGCTAGGGCCAAGGGGGGTCAAGGTTATTCACAGATTCCTCCAATGAGCCCAAGGCCGAGGGGACATCTTGAGGCAAAGAATGTGCCCTAGGAGACCCTCCTCTCCAAGGCCCCACCCTCTGGAGCCTTGTTCCCTCCCCATGCCCTGGGCTGCAGCCCTGATGGCTTTCCCCCAACTGGCCTCATCACCCTTCAAGGCTGTGGGAGGGGCAGTACCGTGACTTTGGGCTGGTCAGAGAAGGAGCGTTTGTTGCACTGCAGCTGAGCCGCCACCAACTGCTGGATCATTAGTTCCTGAGCGGCTGTTAACTGGACACCCTCGCCTTCCCCGGAGCCCTGGCCACCTCCGTCAGACCCTCCAGGGGAAGCCCCAGGCCCAGAGGCTGAGCTGCTGCCGCCTGATGGCCCCACAGGTGACTGTTGCTGCTGCTGCTGCTGCTGCTGCTGCTGCTTCCGAATCTTCTTCTTTCGGATCTGTTCTTCCGACAGGACGCCTATTCGGGACACAGAGGCCTCAGCGGTGGCCCCGGAGCTGTGCACGGGCCAGGCAAGCACGGCGCCCTCCCCAGCACTCACACTGCTCTCTCATCCCGGCCTCCTTGCATTTGCGCAGCCGGCACTGCTGGCACTTGCGCCGCATGAAGGCGTCCATCTGGCAGGTTCCGCCGCCCCGGCAGGCGTAGCGCCTGGCCCCGCCTCGGACCACGCTGCGCCGGAAGAAGCCCTTGCAGCCTTCGCAGCTGAGCACGTTGTAGTGGAAGCCGGAGGCCTTGTCTCCGCACACGCGGCACAGCTCGTGGCCCAGCATCTTTGGAGCCGGGCCCTTCTTTCGCTTGCGCTCTGGTTCCTCTGCCGGGTCTGGGACGACTGGGGTGGGCGGAGAGAAGCCATGAGAGAGACAGAGCCCCCAAAAGAAACAGCAGCCAGAGGGCCATCCCCACGACACAGAAGACACAAACAGCCAGTGTATAGGGGGTGACCAGGGAGACGGCAATTCAGAAGGAAAGATGTGTGAACCCCAAAGAACAAATAACAACAAAAGGTGTCAAGCAGGAAAAAAATACACTCACAGGCAAAGTGAAGGAAAAAAAGAATAAGAAGTGACAAGAAGAAGCGGAAGAAAAAAAATCAAGAAACTGGGGCCTCCCATTCTGATTTTTTATCTTTCTCCCTTCCTAGATCTCCCCTCAAGGCCCCCCATATCCATCCCGAGCCCCTGTCCCTGGGCCCCATCTCACCCTCGCTGCAGGCTGAACGGGCCCAGTCATCGCCTGGGACATCAGGGTCTGGACCCACAGGCCACAGTTCAGGACCCTCCTCCTTTATAGCTGGTGAAGAAGAGGGTGCGCTGGGTTGAGGCGGGCCATTTCCTGGGAGAGGGAATCACAGTGAGTTTCTCCTGCCAAGTGTGGAATGGGAGAGGGACTGGGCTGGGAAAGGGGTGGGTCGCTCACCAGGCAAGGGGGTGTCCAGGGAACTGGTGGTGGGAGTGGACATGGTGGAGTCACGGAGCAACCTGCAGAATATAGGGGGACTGAGAACCTTGTCGGGCCAGGTAGGGTCAGGTTAGGCCAGCCCCAGGTCTCGAAGGATGCACCACTTTCTTCCATCTCTCCAGACTCCTCCTTTACTGCACACAGACCCCACCCCAGGCCCCTGCCGGCCTGTAAAACCTCTCCTCCGATTCTGACAGACCCCACCCACGATTGCTCCAGATCTTCCGGCTGGGTCTCAAGCCCTGCCCTCATCTAGACCCCGCCCCTCACGTGGGCTCCACCCACTCCGGATCCTGCCCACTCCCTCTTCAGGTACTGCCCTTTCTGCTTCAATCGTGCTCCGCCCTAACTTCCCCCTTCCCACCAAGTTCACCCTGCCTCCTCTAACTCCCCACCTCTGCTGAAGAAGCACCCCCAACTCCCATTCTGACCCCACCTCCTCCCCATCTTTTCCTTCTAGGTCCCGCCCAACCCTTGTAGCTTGCACCCTCATTCTATCCACAATGCCCCGCCCCGCCACTTTGCCCCGCCCCATCGGTACCCCTCCCTCCAGGTCCGGCCCCATCCCCTCCCATCCTGCCCCGCCTCCACCTCCTCCCATCACGCTCCGCCCCCATACCTCGCTCCAGGTCCCGCCCCTCTCCGAACACCAGTGGGGGGCGGGGCTCATGGCTGCGCGCGAGGGTCCCGTGGGCCGCCTCTCGCGGGGGTCTCTTACTCCCGTTGCCCTGGAAACAGCCGGAGACAGCGCGGGCTACGGAAGGGGGGGGAGGAGAGAAAGGGGCTGAGCGGGGGCAGCGCGGAGAACGCCGGGAAGCCCCGGGCCCGGGACGCCTCCCGCATCTTCCCATACTCTAGTGCACCTGCCTCGGTCCCCTTGCTCTGCTTCTCTTCTTCCTGCTCTGTAGCCCCTGGCACGCCGCCGCTTCTCGGATCCCCTCAAAAGTAACTTCGCCACTTCTTCCGGCAACCCCGCCGTGCGTCACTTTAGGAAAGGGGCGGGTAGTCTGGAGTGACGGACTTCCGGTCCGCCTAGGACTAGCCAAATCGGCTGCCCCGCACGGAAGTCGTACGGTCACCGGAAGTTTACCCTCCGGGGTAGCTCCGCTGGGGCCAGACAGAAGAGTTCCGGACCAGCTCGATCAAACGCAGGGCCGGCGAGGGGGGCGTGGTCAGTCCCAAACCTTCCGGCCCCCACGGGGCGTCTTTAAGTCATCCCAGTGCCCCCTCGGTGTTTGCGGCCAAGGATTGGCTCGGCATAAATTTCCCCGCCTTGAAATTTTCGCACACGGCCGACTTGAAGCATGTTTGTCATTTTTTGGTTATTAAACAAGTTTTCTGATTTTAGAGGCGCGCTGCTTATTGGTTTTAAATAAATTTAATTACAAACCTAGATCCAGGAAAAATATGTTTAAAAAATAAACTTGTTGATAGGAATTAAAAAAAAAAAAAGGCATAGCCTTCTCATACCAAGAAGAGAAAAATAACAGCTTTTAAAGAAAACTCACAG